AACTACGAATATTCAGTTGTTTCATCACTCGCCCCGGGCATAGATTTCAAATATTTTATATAAATTTTCTAACAAATTTTTGTTTCTGGTATTTTGTAATACTTTAAAATTGACATAATTTACTTCATTAATTATCTGAACAATGAAAGGATAAAGTAATAAGCCTGTTTATCAAAAACATGAATCGTGTTAGAATCTGTCTGATATTGTCAGTTGTTTTCGATGGTCACATCCACTAATTGTCTTAATGTTCTAACTAACCAATTATAAAAGTATGCTTCATTTTAATATAGTGTAATTATTTACAGGAAGGTTATAACTAAATTTTTCATTAAAAATATATCATTTATACATTCTTATATATCACGAAAACAGCAATTATATTCGTTTTAATTGATGTATCTTGTATCTTCAATCAATTATTTTAACTAAAATCGAATAAAAACGCATCAAATGAAAACTTTACTACCAAAAATTCGTCATCCTCTATAACTAAAAGTCATTGATTTCCAAAATAACAATCGTGGAAGTGGAGTTGGCATCTTTCTAGAAATGTCGCATCCTCCGCATCATGTTATGTTTTATCTACTCTAAAATAAATCTTGTCATATCCATATTTAAATATATAAAGGGCCTATATATATTTTTTTAAAATCATTCTCAAATATTTAATATAAATTTTATGAATTATATATTTGTAAAAGTAATTTATACAAAAGTATAAAATTTAATATGTAAACTGTAGGATATGTTCATTCTAAAAATAAAACTAAAAATTTAAAGCAAGATGTTTGGATTTAATTTGAATTACTTCATATTTCTTTGTTCTTTATATGTATTAATATCATATATACATTTTATAATAAGTGGCTTTGTAATTATTCAGTTGATTACATTAAAATTATAACCGAAAATCTCATAGGGATATTAGTAAGATAACATATGTATTTTCGCATACAGTCTCTCTATAAAACTATAAATAGTTTTCTACAGTATTAAAGGCTATAATAATGAGATCATCATTGCATTGACAGACTTTTTGTATTAAAAATAAGAATAATATTAATGAGATAACAGCATTATGATAAAACAACAATGAGAATGAAATAAATGCTTTTACAATGTTGATTTTTTTTTTGATTTTATGATTCAAATGTTAAAGTGTAATTAATTAATTTATGAATTAAAATAATTTTTTTATAATAATTCAAGTATTTGAACAATGGTAAAAACTAAATAAAAGAAATTGAATGATATGAGAACCATTAAAACAGTCATTAAGTTGAGATTCAGACTTCATAAGAGGAATCCAAAGAAAGTTGTTACGGTTTCTTATCTAAACAATTAGAGTTAAAAGATAATTGCTTTTCTTAATGATACAAAAGTAAATGTTTTTTTTCATCGTAAAAAGTCCAATTTTTACGACTATCTTTAAAACAAAAGATACTTATTTTGGTGCCTTATAAAGATATCGTCTATCAAAGGATAGATTTGCTAAAATCCTTTTCTTCTTGTGAAAAAAAATTAATTGTTCTTCCAATGATGCCAACTAGAAGATAAGCATGAGTTTCAATGTAACTTTTTAGGAAATTTATGATTTTTTACAATTGTTTTAATGTCTTTTTTTCCGAAATCATTTATAGATTGAAAGGAATTTAATATCAGTGAAAAAAATTAATTTTTATGAAATTTTCTTAATGATAAATGCTTTTATGTTTCACTAATTCATGAATTTTTATATCATGATTTATTCAAATAATTAAATGTTCATCATCATTATAAATCTGAAGCTACTTTCACACAACTCTTAATTTAATACTTATTACAACTTTTTAAAATTACTGATGATTTAATTTTTATTTGTTTAAAAAAATTAAAATTAATTCAAAATATCAAAATACAATTTAATTTTGTATGTGATAAAATATAGTAATTTTTAAAGTTTGTATCTTGTGTTTTATCATTGAAATTTCATAAAGTATTCGTTATTTTAAAAAGAAATATGAGAAAAATGACATATGAGAATGATTTTTTAGAATCTTAGACAAAAGATAACGTTAATTTCATGGATTATACTGCAAATTAGCAGTTAAAATTTCGTCAGATAACATGAAATATAGATGATTCATTCGGGATTGAACACTTTGAATATTTTCTTTAATACTCATGATTGCACAGTCATATTTGAATAATATGTAATACATAAAATACTTTAGTCGACTGTTTGGTCATGTTTCATGCTTATTTTTTTCATTTTATATGAAAATATTCCACATAATAAGTGCCAAGTGAATTCCCCTGTTTTATGCTTCAAGATTTTTCATCATAAATTTGGTGTTTGTTTCTCTTTCCTACAGGAGATTGAACCACTAATTTACCTTATTATCCCCTTTGTATCTTCCTCTCGCATACCCCACTCTCTCACTTCCAAGGTTTCTTTTTTCTTTTTAACTTTTTCCTTGTAATTTCCAGTCAATCATCACTTGAAGTATACGTTCTTCTTTCATTTTCCTGGTATGAAGTAACATAGTAATTATCAAAGTATTTAATTTTATGTTCAGAGTGTTAAAAATATTTATTTAAGAATAAATTAACTCATAAAAATGAAATATTAAATATCTAAATCATTTTTTTTTTTCGTATCACAAGATGGCTTTGACTTTTAGTAAGACCAGGAAGTATAGGGGAGAGATACAATAAGAAACTAAACACAATAAAATATAAAAGAATTTTACACAATAGAATATATAAAATTTTAAAGGGGTATTAACGATTTCTTAACTTGAAAGCTCAAGATGTAGCAATTTTATCTCGAAACCGATATTTTTTTCAGAAACTGAATTGGGTCCATTAATAGTTATCAATCTGCTAGGTTTTTCTGTTCGTCTTATTTCTTATGAAATTTTTTTAATATCTAACTGCAAACTTCTACCACATAAATAAGTGTTGTAATTATTAGTTTGAATGAAAATAGTTTTGATTTCAAAGAAATCTTATATGTATTTTCTGTTAGAGGTATCATTCTTTTAATTATAGTACTTATTGTGAAATTGATTCTTCAGTTTTGTAGACAGTAAACTCAGTTTCTGTGTAATAGAATTCTTCAGCAATCTCAGATTGAAAGGATCCAGATTTATATCGACTGAGATTTGGCTTATGCGAGTTTTTGTGAAGAAATTGTGTCTACCTTCTTATTCTATTTCTCTTTCTACATTTACAGATCTCGTTGTAAGTCAAAAACTTACTTTGTAATCAAAAAAATAAATGAGGTATTTGCTTATAAATTAAATGTACGTTTTTGAAGCTTATTTAGTTATAGATTAACTCTATTACATTTAGTTTACGGTTTAATTCCATTGAAAATAATTAGAAACGAAAATGTGTCCAATTTCGCTCTTGCCTTTGTGATGCCATTGCCATTGTCATTCTTGCTATTGAACTTATAAAAACGCTTCTGAAAATAACTTTTCGAGGTGACATTCTTTCTTTCATCTAAGTTTGGTAAAATTTTCTAAATTTAATTTTCATGAAGAAAAGAATGCATAACTGCGAGGATATTTACAAAAATATTTCATACCAAAATATTATGTCTTATATTATGAATTTAATATTAATAAACTTACTTGCTTCTATATTTTTCCTGTTTTGTAATATAACAACAATTTTTTTTAAAAAAACAGGTATAATATACATCGAGTATAACTGATGGTCAACATTCCTTAAAGTTTAATCAAAAAAGTTCACTTCTGTCTGTATACAAAAGAGTAATAGAGAGAAAATCAATAAAAACTAAAAAGTCTCATAGAAAATATGAAATATGTAAGAATATAAAATAAATTATATGATAAATATATATAAATTTTTGATGAATTTATTGTAAAAAAATATATATTAACTTTTGATATAATGCTAATTTTAACATGTGTCAAAATCTATTATATATAAATACTGTTTTCTAGTACTAAAATGAAAATATCTCGTGTAGTTTTCCTAGAATTTAAACGTTTAAATAGAAATAATCCTTATAATTATTACATATTTATTCAATAATATATTATTAGTCCATTAGAAATTCAATTAGAATCATTAATCTATTGTATCATAATAAAAAAAATTGAAATCTTTTTATAAATACTTCCGATTAATTATAATAACTTTTGACTTTTGTCATACTTCAATGACATTTAATAGGTTACATCATTAAATATGAAATCTTCTCTATACAGGTACTAATCTGTACAGTCGACATTTGTCTTTGTGTCAATAAAAATGAAATGAAATTCTGGTTAAAAGACATTTAAAAATTCTATATCTATTTTAAAAATAATAATAATAATTAATAAACTTCTATGAAATTCTGCATGGCATTTGTTTCTTAATTCATGTCACAATTGTAAATAACTATCAGAACTTTCTAATTACCATTTTTTAAATAAAAAAAATCATGATGGCATCAAGTCGTTTCTGAGCAAATTACGTGTTGATTTTTATCAATTTCCCATTCTTTTATTCTGATGCTTTACAATAAATAATGTTTTCGTTTTATTTCATCGCAACACTAAGTATAAAATTTGCATTGATAACCATTATAATCTCTATCCATTGATAAACAAATTCCAGAAATACTTTGTTCGCATTATAAGCAGGCATTTCTCCATTTGATATCAAATTAAATATTCGTGTCATTTCTGGTCGAATACAAAGTCTAAACATTTAGGAAACAATCATTAAACTTTTATCAAAAATTTTATGAATTCTACATAGCAAATTAAAGTAAATTGCAACGATTTTAAAGGCATACTTACATCTTTTATTAATTATTAAATCTTTATTTCTTTTATTGTAAATTTTCTTTCGTTTTGTAAAGTATAAAAATTGATTAAATGTAATTAATTATATCATGATAAATAAATCTTTTGTTAAGTTCGAAAAATTTATAAATTCATCATTGATTTTTCTTTTAAAAGTTTTTTCTTTTTGTAAAGTTTTCAATCAAAATTTCTCATTATTAAACAGCTTCTGAGAAAATAAATTTTGACAGATTTTTTTAAATAAAATAATCTCTATTATTTTAAAGTTATCAGCTTAGAAACTAGATAAAGCAAGGTTCTATATTTGAAGAGATAGCTTTAAGAATAGATTTCTTGAATTAGTTATTGATTCCAAATAACTATAGATATATTTACAGATTACTTTTTAATGATAATTATTATAAAACGAAGTAATTAATCATTATAAAAATATTATATAAATTGTAAGATTTTTTTTTATTAATTTATTAACTAAATTAAAAATGTATTCTTACAGAGTTCAATGTTTAAATTTTTTTTAAAAGAGTTTTTATTTATTAATAATTGAATAAAATTACTTTTAATTATTACTTTGTCTTCTTATTTATTTTAATTAGAGCTGCTATACATAATTAAAAGTGATTTGTTTATTTTAAAAAATAAATTAAAAATCTACATATATTAATTAATTATTTAAAATGTGAGTAAATTATAATTTTTAAAATTCAAAAATATTATTATTAAAAAAAAATTAAATATTAACGCGTAATTATTTATTGTGACGTCGTTACAATGCAATTTTTCGTCACAATGGAATTAGTTTTGTAGTGTCTTGCTCCTGTACGTTATACTTTCCCTGTTAACAATGAAGTCATGCTGGTCATGTATCTAACTCCCTTCAGGAGAAAGTTTTGAATTAAAATAACGCGACTTTCGGCTCGAAGTACAAGTTTCTATATAGTTAATTGGGGTTTGCTGCTCCTTCTCTCTCCATATTTGGTCACATGTTTTATCTATCCGACACCATTCCTGAGATTAAAGACGGTCAGACAGACAGACGAGAGTGAGAATTTATAGCTCTATAATTTTTTCAAATTGCAGCCTAATTATTAATTGATTTTTTAAATCACTTATAATATAAATAAATTCTGTAGATGATTTTAAAATTGATGTATTTATGTGACACACTAAAAAAAAGTAAATATGATGATGCTTTTACACTTTATAGAAAATATTTCTTCATAAATCACTTCTAGAGAGTATTTTATGTTGTATTTGTTTCCTCCATAATTTATTATAAGCATCAACATCCAGATTTAGAAGGAAGTTCTTTTATTGAGGTACCCAGTACAGTTGAACGAGCTTCGACATATTTAATAACTTAAATCTATTCACAATAACTAAAATATAAATAACCTTACATACTTTATATATTATCTACATCAAAATTAAATTTTTAGAACTATCTACAAAGTTTAAAATAGAAAGTAACGAATTACAACACGAGAGTTACATAGATGACGACCACTTTAAAAAGAATACTCTATCGATCTTTATTGTATAGCTACTATATAACGTAAAAAATTGCGTTATATAAAAGCTTTTAAAGTTTTTAAATTGTATGTGAATATGCATTTCTGACGGAACAATCAGCCACTTTACTCTTCTTTAATTCAATTATTTTGTGTTTCTTTTTGTGATTTTGTTCATTTTATCAGTCCAGTAACACGAATGATTCTACATAAGCGTTCAAGTAGGATAGTCCAGCTTTAAATTTGACATCACGTGTCAAACAGGTGCTTTCGACATATTTCACGGATGACAGGAGACTCAGTCGAGCAACGTCATATTGCGTGGTTAGTGCGATCGATTGATTAAAATCCTTCTAAAGTTAAGCTTTTCAATGTTGTCTACCACTTGTTATCGATATCTTGGCTAATATAAAAGTGGATAGATTTTCAGTATTTATAATAAAATGTTATTTTGTATTTTCAACAAGTCTCAAATGACGAGAAAATATCATCGAATATTTTCCAAAGAATGTACAGTTATTGCTTTAATATTAAATTATAAAGTTTATAGAGAAACAATTGAAATTGATAATTATGAACTTTAGCAGAATCAGTAAATATTAACTTATAAATTTATATAATTTTTAACTTTTTTCCTGTTCTTTACATTATTTTGAATTATCAAGTTTAAAATCATTTCGTAATTTTTCTAGATAAACTCTAGAATAAACGAAGTTTAAGGTACTTCACACATACTAAACAGATAAAAACAAACGTCTGTACTAAAATTATATATATATACAAAATCGAAGATTCTGGTTCGATTCCATAGAAGAAAAATCGAATGGTATCTTCCTGTCAATATATGACTTTTATTGGTAACTAGGCTATTTTCTGGCAAAAGATGGGACTTTTAACATATCAGATTGTTTTATATACCCATTTGTTTTAGAATGTATCCGACAAAATCTCGTTTTACTTCTGACAGAAATATCTATAAATATTGAAAATGGAATTCTCGTATTGGTGGTCTATAAATATTGGTCTTGTTTGAATCAATTCGAATAACTCTTTATATATACTATAATATAAATATACAAACAGTCAACTTTCTTTTATTTAGAGTAATGCGAAAACATATTATTAAATGTACGTCTTATTGTTTTTTATGCGTGTAAACAATTGCCAGTAGTAATCAACTGGTTAATCAAATCTGCTATATAACATAATGTTTTGTTTTAGTTTCATTAATTTTCATTAAATTTACTTCGCATGCTTTCCAATTTGGAAGGAATTCGGGTTACTTTTATTATTTTTTAAATTTACATTTCTTACTTTTAACGTCTCTTGTCTGTCCGTTTGTTCAAGTATTTCGAATGAGACCTGGAAATGAAATTGAGTAAATAAATTGTGAATTATATTATAATATTTTCGTTTAATGATTTTATATATTTCTTGTGTACATAAGACAGTTATTTTATTTGTTTTATTGTTATTATTATTCCTCCAAAAATATTAACGGTCCTAAATATATAACCTTACACAAGGCATAGTTACGAGACTGCTGAACTTTCGGAGATTCTGAATAAGAAAATTTTAGAGAACATCACCCTACCTTACTCTTTCAAAAAGATAAAAATGTATATATATATATATTGTGCTAGAAGGAATAAATCGCATTATATCAACGTCAATGCAGTCGACAAACTTAATCTGATTGACAACACCCAAGCATTGTGAGGGTACCATCAACATCACAATGTTACATTACCACGTCATTGGCCGTTACTGATGTTGACTCTTCAAAGTAGCTATCGATGTGTGTCTGTTATACACTATTCCTGTTATAAATCTTGTTTAAATTACAAAAAATAATACAATAGATTTTCGATTATCCGACCTAAACTAGAATACAATATATAGAATTATACCCGATGTTATCTATATTTAACAGTATTAAGTAGGATCAGTAATGAAGTAAAACTCTTCAATGATTAAAAGTTTTTAAAGTTTTATTTTAATATAAAAGTTTAAATCTAAAAAAAAAATAAATCATCTTTATGAATTTTATAGTCATTATATATTGTGAAAACCATAATATATTTCGGTTTTAAAATACATTTAACAAAAATATAAATATAATATATTATTTTTAGCTTTAATTTTAAATATGGAATCTCATTACAATAGTTTTTATTTCTTTATATTATCATAAATTTATATAACTTCTTAAATCAATTTTAGAGAAATATTTTATTTAATTTCGCTTTTATCTCTAGTCTTAAATGATTACTTGTACATAAAAATTTCATGATATATTCTGTAATTAAGATTTAATCCTGGTCCATATTAGTTTTTATTGCTGAAATAAATCGAGTGTTGTTATTTTTTTCATAAATTATCGGTATTTTATGCCGTTGATCGTATTGACTATACTCTGAAAAGTATTAAAATGTGAATTTGATACGTAAAATATTTTAAAATATTACACATTAAATGTATATGTATAATTCTATTATAAAATTAATGTAGATTAATTATGTGCTTAGAATTATTAGATGCTTCTTAATGTGTTTAAATGAATTTCTATTGAATTTTATACGTTATTTTGAAGTTTATCGGAATATGTATACAGAAACTGAATTTAAAACAAAATAAAAATGGAAGACTAAAATGAATTAAACAAAAACCTTAATAGTTTTATTCTTGGGAGTTGAAAAGTATAGAGAATTGATAATCTTCTGTATTAGAAAACAGCAGTCAATATAAACGTTGAATAAATTTTGAGCGAAATGTGAAGAATAAATCAATAAAATTTAAGTTTTTCTTGTTTACATGAAATTGTAGAAATGATGTCATCCCTCGAAGGCTCAATTACTTGATAAAAATCTAAAAAAAAGATAAACCAACAACGAGTTGTTCAACTTTCCCGGCAACATTTAGAATTTTGATGAAACCATCATCTTTTATCATATTTTATTAAGAAACGTTTTATATTTTTAACTGTTATAAAATGGCAAAAACCTTAATTTTGAGGGTAGGGATAAGTTTTATAAAAAAAATTGTAAATTTGTCATTAAGTCCGACCGTACTGGAGATACAAACAACACCATTTATCTCCCTACCCCCTCGACCTTTAACCACCAAAATTTAATAGCATCAACCCCCTCCCTAATACACAAACTTCCCTGCAAAATTTCAGAAATTTTCGACAAAAAATACAACAGTTATTAAGCTTCAAACATGGTGAACAAAATCGTACCACACACTAAACTATACAGTACACACTAAAATCAATACATACAGAAATTACCCCCGAATGTTTTTTGCATTTCTCGACATTTCAAGGTGTCTTACGTCCAAAAAATGTAAAAATCTGGGGTGTTAACTTTGCCGGGTTGCCATATTTTCCCTCTGTTATAACAGCCGAAAAGTAAAAAAAAAAAAAAACTTAGGTGTGAGACCATAATTCTTAAAGTACCATGAGAAGTATTAATTTTAAGTTAATTTAAACCTTGAATTTAACAAATTCGTTAAAATTGCTGTTCTTCACAGTGTATTTTTACTGAACTTAACATTCTCATTGTTAACATAAACATTCTCCAAGCAATGCCTCTAAGAAAGCAATGGTGGAATTCAACAGCATCTATGATTGTTCCAGCTCGTGTTTTTCCTGTTTTGTCTCGTTATTCGTGTTTCATTTTCTATATTTTGCAAAAACTATTCAGACTTTTTAAAATTTACTTTTATATACAGATGTCACGTTCGGGTTACCTTCGTGAATAATTCATTTGCTTCTTCTATATATATTAAACATTGTCGAGATTTAGAGATTTTATTCTTCATTATTTACAATAGAGTTATATAATATATGTCAGAGAAAATAAATTACGGATTTTCGAAATTAATTAGGTTTACATTGAAAATGAATGAGGTGTTTAACCGATAAGTCGAAAAAATCTCCTTGCTGTTACGAATTTAATTTTGAAGTAAACTGTAAATTACGAGTGAAAAATATTAGGAAACGACTCTAAAATGCTTTTAAAACCATATTACATTTTTCTATTGCTTTCATAATAAAAATGTAAATTGTTAAATTTAATTTTACTTATTTTCGTTACAATACATCTCACATTTTCACAACTTTTTTAAAAGAAGATAAACGTTAATTAAGTTTCTTTAGAAAAATATATTTTAACAATTTCTAGAAGAATTGATATACAGTAGACCCCTATAAAAACGGGTTCCTATAATTACGATTCCTATAAGACAACGAAAAAATTGCGACGGTATTCGTAAAAAAACGGTAAAAAACTCCTATAATTACGTAAAACGTCATCGGGCAGCCGAACTACTTTCCGCCGTCCAGCGCCACGCTACGGAGAGTTTAGGCGAACTATTGTCTATACAGTATGTAAATTAGGTACCGTAAGTCTAATACAGTACTGTAATTTTATACATTTCTTGTGAAAGAAACATTTCTTATTCAACGGCTGCATAAAAATTATTTATATTAATGATGTCTCCAAAGTTCAGCGAAGTTTTCGCAGAAAAATAACATCAGAAATCGCGGCCGCGGTTTGCTGAGTTGTTCCGCGACGAAAACAAGCTTGAGCAATGGCGATGTCGAATGGTGCACACTCGGTAAGTAATCCTACAATTTTTTGTTTTATAGCGTAGTTTATACGGATTATTTCAAAAAAAAAAGTATACGTATTTTGGAAATGTTGAATCGAATTAGTCTAGAATCGATTAATTTTATGGAAGAAAACCTTTCAAACAGCCGTAGTCCGTAAACTTGACATGTGTCGGCCTGTGATTGGAAGGACTCGTAAGAAATCGGATTCCTAAAGAATGGAACGTATCTACTGTCTTATAGGGAGGGTCGACTGGTATATTTTTTTTATTAACGTTGTTTAAGAAATAACTAAGTTTGATATTGAATATTCTTCATAGAAGATGCTAACAGTTAAGTATCTACTTACTATACAAATGAAATTGTTAATACAGTAAAAACCCCGATATAATAGATCTTACGTTATTACAGACGGCTAAGTATAATTCGCTGTAACGAATTCCTTTATAACGGACTCCGGCTACTATAGACTATTTTTCATGTCCCTCAGACCACTGTTCTTCTGTTGTTATGGATTTTTTAGTCGCAATCGTCGTTTTGTATACTTTATTTGCGATCACAGATTCGCTGAAACGGGTAAAACTACATTTATTTGTCTCTGGTTCGTTATCGAGATCGTGATTCGTATAGAAATGGACTTTTCGATATAATGGATGAAACCGTAGTAACGAGTAATCTGGACAAAAACGGACTTTCGTTATAACAGACCAATTTCTTCCATTCCTTTGGTGGTCCATTATATCGAGCTTTCACCGTATAGAATTTTAAAATATGAATAACAGATATTGTTATTCTATTAGTCTTTTTTTAAGCAATATACGTCAATAAAAATTTATATTAAATACTCAAGTAACCCACTGCTATTATTATATAACTTTTCCTTTATCTTTCTATTGTTTATATTAATTTCTTGAAAAATTCCTTTTTATTTGTGCTTATATATGAAACTTTTTAGTAACTCTAAACATAAGTTTTTATATCAAACGTTTTTTCATTCTTTATTTAAAAGAAATCTTTAAAACATTTTAGAAATTTTTATTATTAGAAATATTTCTTTTCTATTGATTAATTTCTGTTTGATCCATAGATAACTCAGAGAAATTTGAAATATTTACACTAAATATTATACAAAGTTAAAGAATATTAGAAGAATACTTAGTAAACATTTGTAATTTGTTTTATTTAATCATATTAGATATTTAATTCGTGAATATTTTTTTATATGACGGAAGCTCGATGCCCCTTTCTAAATTTTCTGATTAAGTGATCATCCACGACATAAAGGTTGAATGCATTCTACAAGGAGATTAGCAGCTGTTTTTGTTTTACTAGGATTCCAATCAGAATCCAATTACTTGAGTATTTAATTATGTATTGTACTATAAATATACAGTACTTATATACTGATAATTTTCTTTGTTGTTTTTTTACGTCCACGACTAAATTAATTCTTATCGTAATCTCTGAAGGATCTTGATTTGCATTATCCATTTTAGCTCGTCCATGATAAAATTAACTTAGGATAGTAAAAGTAATGAAATTTTTATCTTTAGTTAGGTAGTTAGTTAGTTATTACTTTTTGGCACAAGAGTTTTATTAGGTTAAATTACACTAGGATTCACGATTTTTATTGTCCCATGATAATAGTTTTGTCTTGAATTGGTTATTACTTAAGAATTCCACAAGAAATTCTGTTTATTAAACTGAGTTTTACAACTCAAGTGTGCAGCATTGCACTGGCATGATT